TTCTGCACCACCGCCACCCCCAGACCCTTCCCAGTTGTCGCCACAGCACCAGGCCCGCCTGGACAACATCCGGAGCTACCAGTGGCACTCTATGCTGACATTGGACTTCGGCGTTCTGGCCGAATTTGGATGGGAAGAGGATGTCAGAGCCCACATAGACAGTATTGGGTGGGGCTTTTTGCTGCAGCCTCCACCCACTCATGTGTACCCACAAGCAGTACTAGAATTCCTGGCCTCTGTCTCTCTCATCGAGATCCCCTCCATGGCCTCAGGCATGCAGCCCACCAAAATGGTCAACTATTTCATGGGTGGGCAATACCACACTACCACCCTGGAAGAATTCAATGTGTCCATTGGATTCATCTGACCCGAGGAAGCACTAACCCGGGAGTGCCGAGAGGCCATCTGCTCTCGGCCCGCCAACCTCACCTCCGCGGAAATGTGGCATGAGCTCACAGGAGCAACCACGCTGCCTACTTTGATGAGAGGCTCTGCGCTGCAACCGGCACTCCGCATTTGCCACAAGCTGCTGGCAGGCACAATCCACGGGAGGAAGGAGAGCCAGGGTAAGATATCCCTCCCCGATCTTTTCGTCCTCTATTGCATGCACCAGAGGCGGCACTACAACCCCGGATACTTTCTCCTGAGGGCCCTTAAGGACTTTGGGAGTAGATCCACGGGGGTCGTCCTCATAGCTCCCCTCATCACCCCTCTGGCAGAGAGAAGGGGGTGCCCTGGCCAGGAAGAGCTGGCCCACAATCTACGACCCGAGCCCATCAATGGGCCAATGCTGGTCAGCATGGGGATGCTGATACGTAGGGGAAATCAGTTCGCCCTGCATCCCTCCTTGGACTTCGAGCTGGACCTCCGGGGAATAGTGGCAATGCAGGATATGCCCACACCTCCCGGCTCCCAGCAGCAACAGTAATAGCAGCAGCAGCAGCAGCAGCCACCACCATACACGGAGGACTTTGCTGGCATACACCAACACATGAATGATCTGAGCCAGCAGTTTAGCCAAATGGCGGTGTGGCAAGAGCAGCAGACCTAGTGGCAACAGGCCCACGATGCTCACCAACAAGCCTTTCAAGCTTGCTAGGACGAGATCTACCAGGAGCAGCAGAGGATGCGGCAGGAATGGACGACATTCCAAGAGGACTACCGCGACGAAGTCCAAGAGCAAACAAACTTCCGGTATTACATGTACAAACAGTTCCCTTACCCCGATTCCCCTGATGATAGCCCCTAGGGACGGTACTGGCCTAAATAAAAAGCTGTTGTAATAAAATTTCCCATAAATAAAATTTTATTTCATGCATTCTTTGCCTTCTTTTGCAAAAGCCAGCGTAACAAAAAAAAGAAGCTTAAAAAGAAAAAAGGCACACGCCCAATAAAAAGCCAAAAATCCGAAAATCGCGAGAAAAAAGAGATATAACCATGAGAAAAAGGGAGGATTAAGCCATCACCTCAACCAATAAAAATCGACTACCAAGCAAAAGTCGAACACAAAGAGAGATAACCCGACCAACCAGCAAGAGTCGGATGACTACCACCAAAAGTAAAAAAACAAAGAATCCCCAGCAACCAATGAAGTTGTATGAACAAACCAACAAAATTCCCGGCACAACCCGGATGAACACATCTACCAAAAGCAAGAAGCCACTTCCCAGAGAGCCGGTGCATGGGCCACCTGAACAGTAAGCCGCCATTACCACCCTGATGGGGGGATCATACCCATCCAGTCCCACACAACGGACTGCTACTACCAGCCTGATAGGGGGTTCATACCTATCAAACCTGCGCACGCGTTGCGCCTGATCTGCGCTCGAGCCGGATCAGTAAGTCGCACTACCAGCCTGATGGGGGGTTCATACCCATCCAGTCCCGCACAACAGACTGCAACTACCAGCCTGATGGGGGGTTCATACTCATCCAGTCCCACACAACGGACTGCAACTACCAGCCTGATGGGGGGTTTATACCCATCAACCGAAGGATCGGCTACGTCAGGAGTAGTATCCGGAGGATCTGCCACGTGTCAACCAAAGGGATCGGCTACGTCAGGAGTAGTATCCCGGAGGCGCACAAACACAACTCTTCCCAGAAGATCAACCGCCGCAAAGACGGGACGTCCGAAGGGTAGCCGGGCAAGAGGGTCAACTCCTTTACCTTCCTGTCCAACTGTCTGGCACAACAGGCCAACAATCGACTAGTCAGGTAAAGGGGGGGCAGCTGTAGACCCCAAATCTTGCCCGGCCTCCAAATAAAGTCAGAAAGCTTCCTATTTGAAGACGGCTGAAGCCTAACAAGCCACTAGGAGAGACTATTAGGCCCCCGTACCAGGATAGGAAGGTTTTCTGGCCCGAAAAATAAAGTTTCTCGCCCTGAAGGGACGAGACCGCCGTCTGGAAGGATCAGACCGCCGTCTCGCCTCACGCCAGCGATGAGACCGCCGTCTCGTTTGTCCAGACGGCGGTCTCGCCACCAGCAAAGATTGAGATGGCAGTCTGGGTTTCCAGACGGCGGTCTCGCCACCAGCAAAGATCGAGACGGCAGTCTGGGTTTCCAGACGGCGGTCTCGACCCCCTGCATAGTCGAGACGGCGGTCTGGGTTTTCCAGACGGCGGTCTCGACCCCCTGCCATGGTCGAGACGGCGGTCTCGACTTCCCAGACGGCGGTCTCGACCCTGTCAGACGAGAATGGCGGTCTGGACCCTGACAGGCGCGAAAAACTATAAATAGGGGTCCTCCCCCCCCTCATTTCCACACACCACACAGCTTTAGCTCTCCCTTCTCTCTAAAAACTTCTCTCTAGAATCCCTCCGAAGCATTTCCAGAGTTTCTGAGTGTCTTTAGGAGTATTTTGAGTGTCTCAAATCTTCTTTAGAATCCCTCCGAGGCATTTCCGGAGTTTCTGAGTGTTGTAGAGTGAAGGGTTGCCGCAAAGCACCCATTCTTTAAAGAGAAAATATAAGAAAGCTTGCTTCGAAGGTTCATAAACCTCTTTCTTTACTTTACCGCTTTCATTTAAATTATGCAATAGAGGATAGGGCCATGTAGTCATAATCTTTAAAATTCCGCATAATAAAAAAGGGTAAAAGCGTATTTTCCAGCTTTATTTATTCAAAAGTAGACAGACTCTATCATAGGGAACCCGAAAGGGGCGTCGTAAAGGAACTAACACTTCCTTTACACGTAACTAACTCCCTTACCCAACTCTGGTTCTAATGACCAAAGTTGGTTTTCGAAAACCAACGCCTTTTTAAACCCCTTTTCTGATGTTTCCGGTAAAAACATCGGTGGCGACTCCACGAATCCTTCAAAACTAGTTCTTGGGTTAGCCCGGTCATCGGACAATCCAAGAACACTTTTCGAAAACCTCGTCTCTAGGTTAGCCCGGTTATCGGACAACCTAAGGACGTTGTAATCACCCATAAAAAACGCGAAAGCAAGAGGGTCGAAACCATCGCGTCACTCTGACCGCCCTTCGTTTTTTGGAGGCGGGCGACAAGGGTGAACTGGGTTTTTGTCATCAAGGACCACATGATCAAAGCTAAGCGGCTAAGTGATTTCAGGTATCCTTATGCTATTTTGATTTCTAAATTCTTAACTCATTTCGGTGTTGATTTGGAAGGAGAACTAGTTGAATCTGTTCGACCAACAAATGAGGTCAATAATTCTGTTCTTCATAAAATGGGATTCATCAAAATTGACGGTGAATGGATCTCAAAAGAAGAAGCTGGGAGAGGAGAAGACTTTGAAGAAGAAGAACAGGAGGAAAATATCAATACTGATGTTCCGGGAACTACTTCTGCAGCAAGATCATCGGACCCGATGGAAGAGCAGTATCCATTGGAAATGATTCCATACACTCCACAACCTGACCGTGGCACGCCTCTCTCACAGTTCGAAAGAACCATGCTACATCAGATGAATGAACTGCAAACCAATCAAAGGAGGCACATGGAGATGACGGTTGCTCTGCGGGCTCGTCAGCATTATCTGGATGAAAACTTCATTGCCAGATTTCAATACATTGACAATCAATTGGAAGATATCTACAACAGGATTGTTGATCTGCAGTTTAGTCAAGGTCCCGGGAACGGGGATGAATGAAGTCTTGTCTTTGTTATGCTGTTATTTTCTTGTTTCTGTTCTTTGTTTTTATTGTTTTGTTTTGTTTTGGGTACCTACATGGTACTATTGGACTGTACCTAAACACTTTATTTGATGCAGTCAAATAGGGGGAGAAGTGTTTTACTTAAAACTGTCACTACACACACACACCACAAAATATATGTCTCTGGTCTGTTATTATTTGTGCAGGTGCAGTGGTTATTTGTCTCCATCAAATAGGGGGAGATTGAAGCACTTGGTGGATTTGATGAAGACATAATATTGAGTGGATATAGTTTAGTTTGTGGGTGTGTAGATGAATAGGCTAGAAGGTTAGAACTTAATCTCTTGATAGGCCAATATATTTTGTGATAAGCGCCTTAAAATGATGCATATCATTAAAATCATTTTTCTGCATGAAATACTTACATTTAAGTATTAAAAGAACAAACTAAGTTTTTCAATCTGTTGAAAAGGATTTTCAATCTGTTAAAATCACTTAACATAAAAATGGTCATATATAGTCGGAATTTCAATTGGTTGAATCGCAGAATCAACAGGTTAAAATGTCTTAATGAATTTTTCAAATATCAAAGGTTTCGCATTTTCAATCTGTTGAAATGTTTTTTAATCTGTTGCAACAGAAAGACTATTTTTTCAGTCTAAGATTTTTTCAGAAAATCAATCTGTTGAAATACTTTTCAATCTGTTAAAACAGAGAGACTATTTTTCTATCTAAGAGTCTACAGAATTTCAATCTGTTGAAATGATTTTCAATCAATTGAAACAGAGAGCTATCATTTTTCATAAATCTGTTTCAATCCATTGAAAACTCGAATCAATCCATTGAAAACCTACGTACACAAGAATTGAATAAAGATAAATCATTCTTCCAAAAGAAAGTAAGTTTTGCGAAAAAGTTTTATAAAGTTCAATTCACCCCCCCTCTTTAACTCAACCATTAATTCTTTCACCATGCTTTCTTCTTTACCCTTAACTTCTTCTCCATCCAAAACTTCTTCTTCTTCTTCTTCCTTAACTTCTTCACCTTCCTTAACTTCTTCTCCTTCCTTCACTTCTTCCCCATCCCAAACTACTTCTCCATCCTTAACTTCTTCTTCTCCTTCCCTAACTTGTTGCAATCCTTATCTTCTTATCCATCCCTAACTTGTTCTTCACTCTTCACTTTTTCTCCTTCCCTAACTTCTTCTCCATCCTCTTTAACTTCTTCTGCTTCCTTAACTTCATTCTACATCCCAAGTTTTTTCTCCATCCTTAACTATATAATCTCATATCCTATCCCATCCTATCCGAAAGTTCTTCTCCTTCCTTAACTTCTTCTTCCTTAATTTCTTCTCCATACTTAGTAGATTCTTCTCCATTCCAAACTTCTTCTCCATCCCAAACTTCTTCCCAATCCATACTTTCTTCTTTATCCCTAACTTCTTCTCCATCCAAAACTTCTTCTTCCTTGACTTCGTCTCCTTCCTAACTTAACTTCTTCTCCATACTTCGGTTCTTCTCCTCCATTCCAAACTTCTCCTCCATCCCAAACTTCTTCTCCATCCTTAACTTCTTCTCCATCCCAAACTTCTTCCCCATCCATGCTTTCTTCTTTACCCTTAACTTCTTCTCCATCCAAAACTTCTTCTTCTTCTTCTTCTTCCTTAACTTCTTCTCCTTCCTTCACTTCTTCCCCATCCCCAACTACTTCTCCATCCTTAACTTCTTCTTCTCCTTCCCTAACTTGTTCTTCATCCTTAACTTCTTCTCCTTCCCTAACTTGTTCTTCATTCTTCACTTTTTCTCCTTCCCTAACTTCTTCTCCATCCTCTTTAACTTCTTCTGCTTCCTTAACTTCATTCTACATCCCAAGTTTTTTCTCCATCCTTAACTATATAATCTCATATCCTATCCCATCCCATCCGAAAGTTCTTCTCCTTCCTTAACTTCTTTTTTCTTAATTTCTTCTCCATACGTAGTAGATTCTTCTCCATTCCAAACTTCTTCTCCATCCCAAACTTCTTCCCCATCCATACTTTCTTCTTTATCCAAAACTTCTTCTTCCTTGACTTCGTCTCCTTCCTCCTTAACTTCTTCTCCATACTTCGGTTCTTCTCCTCCATTCCAAACTTCTCCTCCATCCCAAACTTCTTCTCCATCCTTAACTTCTTCTCCATCCCAAACTTCTTCCCCATCCATGCTTTCTTCTTTACCCTTAACTTCTTCTCCATCCAAAACTTCTTCTTCTTCTTCTTCCTTAACTTCTTCTCCTTCCTTCACTTCTTCCCCATCCCAAACTACTTCTCCATCCTTAACTTCTTCTTCTTCTTCCTTCCTTACCTTCTTCTTCCTTAATTTCTTCTCCATACTTAGTAGATTCTTCTCCATTCCAAACTTCTTCTTCATCCCAAACTTCTTCCCCATCCATACTTTCTTCTTTATCCTTAACTTCTTCTTCCTTGACTACGTCTCCTTCCTAACTTAACTTCTTCTCCATACTTCGGTTCTTCTCCTCCATCCCAATCCCAAACTTCTTCTCCATCCTTAACTTCTTCTCCATCCCAAACTTCTTCCCCATCCATGCTTTCTTCTTTACCCTTAACTTCTTCTCCATCCAAAACTTCTTCTTCTTCTTCTTCCTTAACTTCTTCTCCTTCCTTCACTTCTTCCCCATCCCAAACTACTTCTCCATCCTTAACTTCTTCTTCTCCTTCCCTAACTTCTTCTCCATCCTCCTTAACTTCTTCTGCTTCCTTAACTTCATTCTACATCCCAAGTTTCTTCTCCATCCTTAACTATATAATCTCCTATCCTATCCCATCCCATCCGAAAGTTCTTCTCCTTCCTTAACTTCTTCTTCCTTAATTTCTTCTCCATACTTAGTATATTCTTCTCCATTCCAAACTTCTTCTCCATCCCAAACTTCTTCCCCATCCATACTTTCTTCTTTATCCTTAACTTCTTCTCCATCCAAAACTTCTTCTTCTTTTACTTCGTCTTCTTCCTAAACTTCTTCTTCCATACTTTGGTTCTTCTCCTCCATTCCAAACTTTTCCTCCATCCCAAACTTCTTCCCCATCCATGCTTTCTTCTTTACCCTTAACTTCTTCTCCATCCAAAACTTCTTCTTCTTCTTCTTCCTTAACTTCTTCTCCTTCCTTCACTTCTTCCCCATCCCAAACTACTTCTCCATCCTTAACTTCTTCTTCTCCTTCCCTAACTTGTTCTCCATCCTTAACTTCTTCTCCTTCCCTAACTTGTTCTCCATCCTTAACTTCTTCTCCTTCCCTAACTTGTTCTTCATTCTTCACCTTTTCTCCTTCCCTAACTTCTTCTCCATCCTCCTTAACTTCTTCTGCTTCCTTAACTTCATTCTACATCCCAAGTTTCTTCTCCATCCTTAACTATATAATCTCCTATCCTATCCCATCCCATCCGAAAGTTCTTCTCCTTCCTTAACTTCTTCTTCCTTAATTTCTTCTCCATACTTAGTAGATTCTTCTCCATTCCAAACTTCTTCTCCATCCCAAACTTCTTCCCCATCCATACTTTCTTCTTTATCCTTAACTTCTTCTCCATCCAAAACTTCTTCTTCCTTGACTTCGTCTCCTTCCTAAACTTCTTCTTCCTTAACTTCTTCCCTTTACTTCGATTCTTCTCCTCCATTCCAAACTTCTCCATCCAGAACTTCTTCTCCATCCCCGACTTCTTCCCCATCCATGCTTTCTTCTTTACCCTTAACTTCTTCTCCATCCAAAACTTCTTCTTCTTCTTCTTCCTTAACTTCTTCTCCTTCCTTCACTTCTTCCCCATCCCAAACTACTTCCCCATCCTAAACTTCTTCTTCTCCTTCCCTAACTTGTTCTCCATCCTTAACTTCTTCTCCTTCCCTAACTTGTTCTTCATTCTTCACTTTTTCTCCTTCCCTAACTTCTTCTCCATCCTCCTTAACTTCTTCTGCTTCCTTAACTTCATTCTACATCCCAAGTTTCTTCTCCATCCTTAACTATATAATCTCCTATCCTATCCCATCCCATCCGAAAGTTCTTCTCCTTCCTTAACTTCTTCTTCCTTAACTTCTTCTTCCTTAATTTCTTCTCCATACTTAGTAGATTCTTCTCCATTCCAAACTTCTTCTCCATCCCAAACTTCTTCCCCATCCATACTTTCTTCTTTATCCTTAACTTCTTCTCCATCCAAAGCTTCTTCTTCCTTGACTTCGTCTCCTTCCTAAACTTCTTCTTCCTTAACTTCTTCTCTTTACTTCGATTCTTCTCCTCCATTCCAAACTTCTCCATCCAGAACTTCTTCTCCATCCCCGACTTCTTCCCCATCCATGCTTTCTTCTTTACCCGTAACTTCTTCTCCATCCAAAACTTCTTCTTGTTCTTCTTCCTTAACTTCTTCTCCTTCCTTAACTTCTTCCCCATCCCAAACTACTTCTCCATCCTTAACTTCTTCTTCTCCTTCCCTAACTTGTTCTCCATCCTTAACTTCTTCTCCTTCCCAAACTTGTTCTTCATTCTTCACTTTTTCTCCTTCCCTAACTTCTTCTCCACACTAGTGCAAAAAAGGCTTTTTATGTCGGTTAAAATGAGCTTTTTATGTCGGTTAAAGAGGCGACATAGATATAGGGGTCATAGAAAGTATGACTTTTTACGTCGGTTGTGATGAACCGTCATAGAAAGTATGACTTTTTATGTCGGTTGTTGTCGCCGCCTCCCAAAGAGAGGGCGGTCGGAGCGACGCGATGGTTTTTTGACCCTCTTGTTTTCGCGTTTTTTATTGGTGGTTACAACGTCCTTAGGTTGTCCGATAACCGGGCTAACCTAGAGACGAGGTTTTCGAAAAGTGTCCTTGAGTTGTCCGATAACCGGGCTAACCCAAGGACTTATTTATTTTAGGTTCTATGGAGTCGCCACCGATATTTTTACCATAAACATCGGAAAAGGGGTTTTAAAAGGCGTTGGTTTTCGAAAACCAACTTTGGTCATTAGAACCAGAGTTGGGTAAGGGAGTTAGTTACGTGTAAAGGGAGTATTAGTCCCTTTACGACGCCCCTTTCGGGTTCCCTATGATAGGCCGGCTATTTGTGAATAATTAAACTTGGAAAATTGTGCTTTTACCCTTTTTATTATGCGGAATTTAGATGTATGACTACATGGCCCTAGCTTCTATTGCGTAATTTAAATAGCAGTAATTTAAAAAGAGAATGAGGATATGCACCTCCAAAGAAAGCTTTTATATATTCAAAAGAGGGTGCGTTTTGGCAACCCTTCACTCTACACTCTCAGAAACTCCGGAAATGCCTCGGAGGGATTCTTAAGAAGATTTAGAACGCTCAGTCTATGCCTAAAGACGCTCAGAAACTCCAGAAATTCCTCGGAGGGATTCTTAGAGAGAGAAAATCTAGAGAGAAGGGAGAGCTCTTGCTGCTTGGTGTGTGGAAATGAGGGGGGAGGACCCCCTATTTATAGTTTTTCGCGCTGTCAGGGTCCAGACCACCGTTCTCGTCTGACAGGGTCGAGACCGCCGTCTCGGAATTCGAGACCGCCGTCTCGTTCGTGTCAGCGGGTCGAGACCGCCGTCTCGACTTGGCGAGAATCGAGACCGCCGTCTGGAAAACCCAGACCGTCATCTCGTTTTTGCAGGTGACGAGACCGCCGTCTGGAAAATCGAGACGGCGGTCTCGTCCTGGCGTTGAAACGAGACGGCGGTCTGGTATTCCCAGACGGCGGTCTCGTCCCTTTAGGGCGAGAAACTTTATTTTTGGGCCAAAAAACCTTCCTATCTTAGTACGGGGGCCTAATAGTCTCTCCCAATGGCTTGTTAGGCTTCGACCGTCTTCAAATAGGAAGCTTTATGACTTTATTCTGAGGCGGGGCAAGATTTGGGGTCTACAGCTGCCCCCCCTTTACCCGACCAGTCGACTGCTGGCCTTTTGTGCCGAGGTGATCGACTGGAGGGTAAAGGAGTTGACCCTCTTGCCCGGTTTCCCTTCAGATACTCCGTCTTTGCGGCGGGTGATCTTCTGGGGAGATGTTGTGTTGTGCGCCTCTGGGATGCTCCTTTGATGCGGTAGCTGACCCCTTCGACTGATGAGTATGAACCCCCATCTGGTTTGACGAGTATGAACCCCCGTCTGGTAAGCCCCCTTCTGTAAGGCCCGATGAGTACACACCCCCATCTGGTGGTTGACGAGTATGCACCCCCATCTGGTGTTTAAGCCTCCGGATGCTCCATCTTGCGGTAGCTGATCCTTTGGCCGTGGTGGCCATGCGCCGGTTAGGCGCTCCTTGCGTGCTGGTTGATAGGTATGAACCCCATATCTGGCTGGTACAGTCCACTGCGTAGGACTGGTGGTAGTGGCGGCTTACAGTTCAGGTGGCCCATGCGCCGATTCTCTGGAGAGTGATTTTTGTTGGTAGAGGTTCTTGGTCTTCTCGAATGGTCGTCCGGACTGTGCCGGGGATTTGGTTTGTTGTTCATCCAGCTTCATTGATTGCTGGGGATTTTTTTTTCTTTTGATTTTTTGTGGTGGTTATCCGACTCTTGCTAGTTAGTCGGGTCTTCTCTTTGACTTTTGCTTGGTAGTCGGTTTTGTTGGTCAAGGTAGTCGTTTTTAATCCTGCCTTTTTCCGCGGTTTCTATTTCTTTTTTCTCGCAGTTTTGGATTTTGGCTTTTTATTGAGCGTGTGCCTTTTCTTTTTTAATCTTCTTTTCGTTACACTGGCTTTTGCAAAAGAAGGCAAAGAATGCGGGAAATAAAATTTTATTCATAGGAAATTTTATTACAGCAACTTTTGGTTTTTAGCCCGTACAGTCCCTAAGAGTCATCATCATCAGAAGGAGCGCGGTGGGGAAAATATTTATACATGTTGTAGCGGAAGTCGGTTTGTTCCTGGATTTCGTCGTTGTAATCCTCCTGGAATGTCGTCCACTCTTGCCGCATCCTCTGTTGTTCTTGGTAGATCTCATCCTGGCGCTCTTGAAAGGCCTGTCGGTGCGTTTCCTGGACTTGCCGCCACTGGTTCTGCTGTTCTTGCCATATCGACATCTAGCCAAGCTGCTGGCTTATGTCGGCCATGTGTTGGTGAAGGCCAGCGAAGTCCTCCGTGTACAGTGGTGGTGGTTGTTGTTGCTGTTGCTGTTGCTGTTGTTGTTGTTGTTGCTGGGAGCTAGGGGATGTGGGCGCATCCTGCATTGCCACTATTCCCCGGAGATCCAGCTCAAAGTCCAGGGTGGGGTGCAGGGCGAACTGACTTCCCTGACGGATCAGCATCCCCATGCTAACCAGCATTGGCCCGTTGATGGGCTCGGGCTGCAGGTTGCGGGCCAGCTCTTCCCGGTCGGGGCACCCCCTTCTCTCTGCTAGCGGGGTGATGAGGGGAGCCACAAGGATGGCCCCTGCGGATCTACTCCCTAAGTCCTTCAGGGCCCTCAGGAGGTAATACCCAGGGTTGCAGCGTCGTCTCTAGTGCATGCAATGGAGGACGAAGAGGTCAGGGAGGGATATTTTCCCTTGACTCTCTTTCCTGGCGTGGATGGTGCCTGCCAGCAGCTTGTGGCAGATGCGGAGTGGTGCGGGGAGTGCAGATCCCCTCATCAATGAGGGCAGTGTGGTGGCCCCAGTGAGCTCATGCCACATCTCAGCAGCGGTAAGGTTGGTGGGCCTGGAGCATATGGCCTCACGGTACTCCCGAGATTGCGCTTCCTCGGGGCGTATGAATCCAATGGAGACATTGAATTCCTCCAAGGTAGTAGTGTGGTACTGCCCACCCATAAAATAATTAACCATTTTGGTGGGCTGCATGCCGGAGGCCATGGAGGGGATCTCTATGAGAGAGACCGAGGCCAGAAATTCGAGTACCGCCTGGGGGTACACATGAGTGGGTGGAGGCTGTAGCAGGAAGCTCCACCCAATACTATCTATATGTGCCCGGACGTCCTCTTCCCATCCAAATTCAGCCAGGATGCCAAAATCCAGTGTCAGCATTGAGTGCCACTGGTAATTCCTGAGGTTGTCCAGGCGGGCCTAGTGCTGTGGTTGAAGTTGAGAGGGGTCTGAGGGTGGCGGTGGTGCCGAACTGCTAGCACCAGAGGTGCCCCTTCTCTTCCTGGAGCCACTTCTACTGAACATCTTGAGCACAGAGGGTCTGGAGAAGAGTTTTGAAGGTTCTGGAGGCTTTGGAGGCTTGGAGAGTTGTGAGGAAACCCCCCAAGCGCGCCCCCTTTATATAGGGTTTTTTCCAGGTCGAGACCGCCGTCTGAAAAGTCGAGACGGCGGTCTCGTTTGGTCAACAAATCGAGACGACGGTCTCGATAATCCAGACGGCGGTCTGGTTTCTCGAGACGGCGGTCTCGTTTAGTCAACAAAACGAGACGGCGGTCTGGGAAACCCAGACGGCGGTCTCGAATTTGCGGATGATTTTTTTTTTTTTGAATAAGAAATAGGACCTGGTTCAAAAACATTTTATGCATGCAAATGTTTTCATGTTTGATGTCCTATAATGCCTACTTTGGTTAATATTTCAGAAGGATTTAACCAACGTGTCTTGTTGCGCTGAAAGCCTTCTGATTTGTTGTTCTTGCCTTTTGGCTGTACCATACCGGACTTCTTGTGACCGAAGAGTAGTTTCTTTCTTTCTCTTTTCTTTTGTTTGTTTTTTCTTTTGTTTTTCTTTTGTAGAGCACTTTTGTCATATAGTGTCCCTTTTTTCTTGCGTTAGAGATTTCAATCCTCTTGTTGACTA